TTTTTTTTTTTTTAATTAATCAGTCTCAAATTTCTCCTAGAGGATACAATTCTATCCATAATATTACATAATCATGCGGGTAGAACATGCTGGAGTACTGCAGGCCACAACTCGTTTCCCAATTAAGTAAAAACCAGCAACTATGACACACAAAGCTGCTGGCAGGTTTTCATGCTTCAACACTGCTTTTCCCATAAATTCAACAATCTGCCTTTCTGGGATTAATCTTTTTTTTTTCTTTTGAAAGAAACAAACATGACCTCTTAATTTCTGCAATGAATTTAATGAATAAGATTTTCTAATAAAAATACAAGTATTCAATCCAAAGTACAAATTCCCTTCTCTCCAAAGAATCAGAATATGTAATCATCCTCATTCAAATGGCAGAATGAGTCAGCTTCAATCCTTGTTTTTCCTTTTTGTTTAAAAATAAGTAAGTTTTGATCTCATAACCCGGCTAGACCACTAGAGACAAATAAATTTTTCATAACATGGCACATTTAATATCTTGGTTCCTATAAACACCAGTACCTCATTGCCAATCAGGTCTCCATAGAACGAAAGTATCATAATTCATATATGCTGGTTACAAAAATGCCTAATCAAGTAACCATAATGCATGTAGTCCGAACTTTATGGTGAATTAGAACTGATTTTGCCTATGTTTCTCCGCTCAACAGTAGAATAAAATCATTCAAATCTTGAACGAACTTGACAAAACCTTCACATGGTGTGGCATGATTTTTATATCATAAGGTACATGAAGCCATGCTCCTGGTGGATAGAACAAGTTCTCTGGCTTGTTGGTATAAACATCGGCAAATTGATGGATGTGGTAACTAAATGCAGATTCTTGACCAGTGTCGGTAAGAAATGTAGCTCCAAATGACCCATTAAACATGGTTTCCATAGCACAATGTGTCTTCTGCCTCTCTTCGTTGATCTCCCCAAGAAGAGACTTGTATACTTCACTCTTACAATTAGGAACATTGGAATGCAGTTTGCCAAGAAGTTCTTATACTATATGAAACTTCGCCTGCTCAAAATGATAACTATCCTCGTTCTGTATTCGCATATCATTTTCCAATTCATGGATAATGGCAGCAGTACGCCACCATGCTTTCGAAGGCCCTCTCAAGTCACTAAATAGGTGATCCCCAAAGTATATCACCTTTGGACCATTCCACTTAGTTATTTGCAAAAAAGAATTCAAGCATCCATGGTAGTAAGTTTTGTTTGGAAGAAAAGCATCCACCTTCGAAAAAGCCAAGTTGTCTTTCTCCTCATCATGACAACAAAATGAATGCTCAGATGTGTAAAACTCTGGTTTGTTGGCTTTAGCAATACGAAATCAAAAAGTTCCCTCCAAAAGTCTAGGTGTCCCAAAGAATCCTCCAACAAAAAGCACATCCCTCCATCCACAAAATAATAGGGAGAGTTGGTCAACAAGAAAAGTTTCTTCCCTTTCTCTCTTAGCATCCTTAAAAAGCGTAATAGCTGACCATTCTTTACAAGGTACTTATGCGGATTAGTAAGAATTCCTCTATGAGCTAAGCCACTTCAATGAACGTGTTGAATTGCTCGATTCACATCTTGGTAGACATAACTGGCGACAAATTCCAGCTCAGCCTCAACAAAATGTCGAAAAATATGAGTAATAAGGCATGCCTCACTGAAGCAAAAGAAGTCCATCATACCGATGGACTTTTATTCAAACTCACCAAATGTCTTAGAATATCATTGGATTCATAGTACATTCTTGAACAGAACACAATATGAGCCAGATTCATAGTACATTCTTGAACAGAACAAAATATGAGCCATGACACAATAACTTTGACCACAGAACCTCAAGAAAATTGGAAGTCAAAATGCCTCAAAAATCAGTGATTTCAACCAATGGCGGCATCACAAACCTACAAAGTTATATCGACCGATCGGTTACTTAACAAAGATTCAATGGTCTTCGAGCTCGACGAGTCCGATATCTGGGACATGACTGCCCGATTGGTTTCGCCCGAGTTCCGAAAAGCCAATTCGAGAATCTCTCGAAAGAATTCTTCGACAGCGAAAGGAGTCCCCGTCAATGGACTGGCATCTCTGCCGATGAATATACCGAACTGGTCGAACCGTCAAAGATACTGAAAAAAGAGTATAGGGTAAATCACCGGAGGGACTTCGATGAGGATGATTTCGAGGACGACGACGAGGATTCGGAGCATTGGGTTCCGTCTCATGAGTTTTTAGCTAGGCAAATAGCGAGGATGAGGACCGTTCATTCTCATTGCACGAAGGGATTGGTCGTTCAAAGAGAGTTCTGAGAAAGCAACTTTGGAGGGTTTCTGAGAGAGAGGGAGGAACCCCTTTTTTTGTGGG